TTCGCTTTCACAACGAAACACAGCGTCACACACAGCGGGCTAGAGTGAGCGGCGGCCGCTGGACTTGAGAAAGGCGCGCCATGTTAAGTGTTTACGTTTTTCTACAGGAGGAAAATGCTTAATGAGAGACTTTGTGCATTGCGTTCATATTCTGCTGTTCTGTGGCCACGGATTTGCGGGTCTTGTCTTTTTCTTGCAGGACCCTGTATGTTATAGTACTAAATTAGTTTTAATCGTTTAATCACCACCACAGCGTCTTGTCTCCATTGGCAACACGCACGATTTGTGTCCGATTGCATGTGACGCCGCAGGTAGCGGAGAGTGCAAGTGGCGATTGCAAGTGACTTCGTAATTTAGTTTCTTTTTTCTTGTCTTCACCACCTGGCTACTGTTGTAAAATGTTGAGAGATTCAAACAAAAAAGGAATAAAAAATAGAACAAAATAAAAATAAAAGACTGCAAGTGACGTCGCTAGTGGAAGCGCAAGTGTCTGAGAGTGCAAGTGCAAGGCTGCAGCGAGACCCTTTTGAAATCTTCCCACATCGTGACGTAGACATGTGGGGGCGTGTTAGAACGAGCCGTTTTAGGTAGGTGTGGTTGACTCTTAACTTTTATAAAGAATATCTCTTTGGATTTGAGACTTTAGTCTTTGCAACTTTACAGATCTTCTTTATGCACCAAGAGCTTGTAACACTCCAAAGAGAAAGGAAAAATTTAAATCGCATCGTATGACCCCTTTAAAGGGAAAATGTGACTTGTCATAATATAAACACTTTATAGATCTTCCAGAATGATCCTCTTTGTATGCATATTTGCTAAACCTCTATCCATTCTTCTCTGGCCATGTGTTTTGTGTCCAGTTTACTTAGTGGAAGAATATCATCACTACGGGATGAAACTGGAGCTGTGAGTAGAAATCCTGAAAAGTAGTTTTACCTAATTGTGTTTATAAATGAAAACATATCAAAAAAATAAAAACTTAATGAATACCGAATAACCATGTTTTGTAGGTTCTTTGTTAAAAAATAATTAAAAATTTTTCCAGAAGCAAACAAATTGACAGAGACATTTGCACCCATTTTAAACTTTCTTCGAACTAAAGAATTGGACTTGAGGTGAGACATAACATATGCTTATATGCTTATCATTACAAATCCCAAAAATATATAGTGTAATGTGTGTAATATTCATGCTTTCTCTGATAGGGGGGTTAACATAAGTATCTTGCGACATGAAGCCGAGTTCTATGGTATTACACCCTTAGGTATGTAATAGAAAAATACATTTGACTGAATTAGGTGCAGCACCTAATTTATGCATGTATAATTCTCACCTTGCATTTCTATTTGTCACTGATATGGTTAGTCCGACGCTTACTGCTTTGTGAAGAACTGGAGCGATCGTCATGTGGAAGTGTGTTGTTTCATGGCTACCTTCCTCCACCAGGTAGGTTGAGAGTAGATCTGTGGAAGATAGAGAAAAAACAGTCACCTTTTCATCCTCTGTGCTAAATATAACACATCAGGATGAGGCTGGTATTTTTGTCCTTCAGCTCTCCCAGCGCGGAGTAGTGCCGGAGGGCAGGGTGCAGCTGTTGCAGGTCCAGAGGAGTGCTCAGGCCCCAGTGGCGCAGAGGGGGGTTACCCTCGTTCTTGCCCTCAGTCTTCCCTCCCTGGACCATCTGGGGCAGATGGACCTCAAAGACTGGGTGAGTAAAAATCGTGCAGTGACCACTGGGGTTACACTGAAACTGAGATGTTTAAAGATGTTGTGGGGGGAAAAGTAGTTAGTAAAAAACTACCAAAACTAAAATACTTGAAACAAGATTAAACAAGAAAAAAAAAAGAAAGGCGCGCCATGTTAAGTGTTTACGTTTTTCTACAGGAGGAAAATGCTTAATGAGAGACTTTGTGCATTGCGTTCATATTCTGCTGTTCTGTGGCCACGGATTTGCGGGTCTTGTCTTTTTCTTGCAGGACCCTGTATGTTATAGTACTAAATTAGTTTTAATCGTTTAATCACCACCACAGCGTCTTGTCTCCATTGGCAACACGCACGATTTGTGTCCGATTGCATGTGACGCCGCAGGTAGCGGAGAGTGCAAGTGGCGATTGCAAGTGACTTCGTAATTTAGTTTCTTTTTTCTTGTCTTCACCACCTGGCTACTGTTGTAAAATGTTGAGAGATTCAAACAAAAAAGGAATAAAAAATAGAACAAAATAAAAATAAAAGACTGCAAGTGACGTCGCTAGTGGAAGCGCAAGTGTCTGAGAGTGCAAGTGCAAGGCTGCAGCGAGACCCTTTTGAAATCTTCCCACATCGTGACGTAGACATGTGGGGGCGTGTTAGAACGAGCCGTTTTAGGTAGGTGTGGTTGACTCTTAACTTTTATAAAGAATATCTCTTTGGATTTGAGACTTTAGTCTTTGCAACTTTACAGATCTTCTTTATGCACCAAGAGCTTGTAACACTCCAAAGAGAAAGGAAAAATTTAAATCGCATCGTATGACCCCTTTAAAGGGAAAATGTGACTTGTCATAATATAAACACTTTATAGATCTTCCAGAATGATCCTCTTTGTATGCATATTTGCTAAACCTCTATCCATTCTTCTCTGGCCATGTGTTTTGTGTCCAGTTTACTTAGTGGAAGAATATCATCACTACGGGATGAAACTGGAGCTGTGAGTAGAAATCCTGAAAAGTAGTTTTACCTAATTGTGTTTATAAATGAAAACATATCAAAAAAATAAAAACTTAATGAATACCGAATAACCATGTTTTGTAGGTTCTTTGTTAAAAAATAATTAAAAAATTTTCCAGAAGCAAACAAATTAGAAATGTATCCAGCTCTGAAAGAGATCTTTTTTTTTCTATAAGATATTTATTGACAGAGACCCAACAGCATTTGCACCCATTTTAAACTTTCTTCGAACTAAAGAATTGGACTTGAGGTGAGACATAACATATGCTTATTTGTTATCCATTACAAATCCCAAAAATATATAGTTTAATGTGTGTAATATTCATGCTTTCTCTGATAGGGGGGTTAACATAAGTATCTTGCGACATGAAGCCGAGTTCTATGGTATTACACCCTTAGGTATGTAATAGAAAAATACATTTGACTGAATTAGGTGCAGAACCTAATTTATGCATGTATAATTCTCACCTTGCATTTCTATTTGTCACTGATATGGTTAGTCCGACGCTTACTGCTTTGTGAAGAACTGGAGCGATCGTCATGTGGAAGTGTGTTGTTTCATGGCTACCTTCCTCCACCAGGTAGGTTGAGAGTAGATCTGTGGAAGATAGAGAAAAAACAGTCACCTTTTCATCCTCTGTGCTAAATATAACACATCAGGATGAGGCTGGTATTTTTGTCCTTCAGCTCTCCCAGCGCGGAGTAGTGCCGGAGGGCAGGGTGCAGCTGTTGCAGGTCCAGAGGAGTGCTCAGGCCCCAGTGGCGCAGAGGGGGGTTACCCTCGTTCTTGCCCTCAGTCTTCCCTCCCTGGACCATCTCGGGCAGATGGACCTCAAAGACTGGGTGAGTAAAAATCGTGCAGTGACCACTGGGGTTACACTGAAACTGAGATGTTTAAAGATGTTGTGGGGGGAAAAGTAGTTAGTAAAAAACTACCAAAACTAAAATACTTGAAACAAGATTAAACAAGAAAAAAACCCCGACAATTGCCACTGACTATAAATATGATCTCATATGTTCTTGGTTTGTGTTAACAGTGTTAATAAACCATGTTATGTAATACTTTCATTAATGTATTGTGGATTTTGAAAGCTGTATTAGATGCAGCAGTAGAGAGTACAGAGAACATTAGAACTGGGCTGGCTGTAGCTGTCTCAATGCAACCTGGAGAACAGCATGTGCTCATTCTGGTATGGGCATGCGGAGGGGAGGGGGGTGGGTTGCCATGAAGACAAAGTATTCCCCTTACAAGCAGTAGTGCAGTAGGCAGGGTGAGGTCATCTTAAAAGGCCTTTTATATCCTCTGTGCCCAGCGAAGTCATGTGAGAAGAATGATGAAAGAGATGGAGAAAACAAGTTAATGGACAGGCCTTCCTTTTAACCATTTTATTGCATTTTGGTGCATTTATATATCACAGGGCAAAATGTACTTAGCCAGCATTGCAGAGAATTTGGATAATAATTGTATAAAAATTGACAGAACAGGGAAAAAAAACATTGAAATATGTGTTTGCATAGGATTTGTTGTAATGGTACCAAAAGAAAGTGACAGTGGCTACTAATAACAGGCAACAGCCAGTAGATAAACCCCCCCCCCAAATAACATGAAAAAAACAAACCAAAAAAAAACATAAAATGAGCTTGTTGTTGTATTATCATATTATTACTATGTTTTTTGTTTTGTTTATGTTTTTGCATAAACTTGAAACATTATTACTTGTTTTTAATGATATATTCATTAAAATTCTGCTACAATATTACAAGGTTCACTGAAGTAAATGCTTTTATGCTAATTACTTTCTTTGATGAGTCATGATTGTATTTTAACCAAACAGACAGTTTATAATACTAATTTAGATTTTTAAAGGGATAGTTCACACAAAAATGAAAATTCTGTCATTGAAAATCTGTTTATCATCCTCAAGTTGTTCCAAACCCATATGAGTTTCTTTCTTTATTTGAACACACGAAAAAAATATATTTTGAAGAATGTGGGTAACCAAACAGTTGACCGTAACCATTTACTTTTTTTTTCATACTACAGAAGTCAATGGCTACCGTCAACATTTCAGCCTACTTGTGTATCAACATACTGAGGTATTGTTTTAGATTTTTTTTTTATATTACAATAGGATCACCAGTGGACCCTAGGAAGGTGCTGATTGTCGCTGGCCATCATAACTGGATTGTAGCTGCTTATGCACATTTTGTCATTTGCTACAGGTAAAGCTACAGACCACATGACTTTGAAATTTAAAATAATAAGGGTTATACTCACCAGACTGGGATTGTTCTTTAGGATAAAGGAATCATCCGGCTGGCAGCAGGTGTTTTCCAGCCCTTACCTGAACTGGGCCATCGAGCGGGTGGCCCTCAATGCAAAAGTTGTAGGCGGCCCACATGGAGATAAAGACAAGATGGTGGCAGCATCATCAGAGAGCAGCATTATATTGTGGAGTATCCAGGATGGAGGGAGTGGAAGTGAAATAGGTAGAAGGACAGAACAAAAATGAAATGCGCAGTCACTCATGTGTGTCGATTTAAAGATAATGTTTCTTTGTCTTTGTAAAGGTGTGTTCAGTCTTGGAGTACCAGTTGACTCTCTGTTCTTCATTGGGAGTCAGCTGGTCGCCACCAGTCACACGGGGAAGGTAGGAGTGTGGAACGCTGTCACCCAGCACTGGCAGGTAAAGCAATTTCAATTTTATACTACATTCTGACATATTATCAGGGTTCATATTTGACTACTTCATTTGCAATACATCACTTGTACAGGTGCAGGATGTAGTGCCCATCACGAGCTGCGACACTGCTGGCTCCTTCCTCTTGCTGGGCTGTAACAACGGCTCCATTTACTATATTGGTAAGCTGCTTATCTTCTCCTGGATTGCATTGAATTCATTTTTATATGACGTCAGTGGTTAATGAGATGTGCAACTGGCAGTACCAGAATCAGTGTTGAAAATTTAATTACAATTGCATAAAGACATCAATGTAATTAATTTTACATAGTAAACAGGTTAAAAAGTCATATGCATTTCATCATCATCCTAATGCAGTGCAGTGATCCACATGTGTTTGAAGTTTAAATCCTAATTTTTTGTGAGATTTTAATGTAAGGAAATCCCTACTTATTAGGTATAATTTTTATTCATATATACACTTCCATTCAAAGGTTTGGGGTCAGTACAATTTTTGTTAAATAAATGAATACGTAGTGAGGATGATGCATTAAAATGATCAGTAAAGACATTTAGAGTGTTACAAATATTTACATTTAAAATGAAAGCTGTTTTTTGACCTTTCTATTAATCAAAGAATCCTGAAAACAATGTATCATTGTTTTCCATAAAACTATTATGCAGCACAACTGTTTTCACAGTTAACAGTTAATAATAATAATAAATGTAAATATAATGTAACAATAATGTCTTGTAATAGTAATAATAAATGTAATAATAATAAATTATATTAACAATAAATGTTTCATGAGCTCCAAATCAGCATATTAGAATGATTTCTGATGGATCATGTGACAATGAAGACTGAAGTAATGGGTGCTGAAAATTCAGCTTTGCCATCACAGGAATACATTATGTTTTAAAATATATTAAAATAGAAATTGAATTATAATTACTAACAATATTACTGTTTTTACTCCATTCAAAAACATTACATATTTTGAACAGTAGTGTGTATGAACTTAATTTGTGAGTTTTTATATTTAAACGTACATTTTAAATGCATTAAACCCATTTTACGTTGAAAATGTCACCACTATAACATTTGAAATACCTCTAATATGCGCACGTAATATGTTAAATGAGAAGATGATAAAGAAAAGACCTAACCATATTCTCTTCACTCTCAGACATGCAGAAGTTTCCGCTGAGAATGAAGGACAATGACTTGTTGGTGACCGAGCTGTACCACGACCCATCGAACGATGCCATCACGGCCCTCAGTGTCTACCTGACTCCTAAAACCAGTACGTCCAAAGATGGTTAACTAGTCTTACCAAGATGAATGAAGTGGTTAGTCTGGTCAGTCACTGTGTTTGCAGGTGTGAGTGGGAACTGGATTGAGATAGCCTATGGAACCAGCTCAGGGGCCGTGCGTGTCATTGTGCAGCATCCAGAGACCGTTGGATCTGGTCCACAGCTCTTCCAGACCTTCACTGTCCACCGCAGCCCCGTCACTAAGATTATGCTTTCTGAAAAGCACTTAGTTTCAGGTAAAAACTACTCGGATATAGGACGATATAACGCAAAATGGTGGTGGTCTGTAATTTCGACCTGTTTTTGTTGAAGTGTGTGCTGACAATAATCATGTACGTACATGGACGGTGACGCGCTTCAGAGGCATGATCTCCACTCAGCCAGGATCTACTCCGCTGGCCTCCTTTAAGATCATCTCACTGGAGGAGACAGAGAGCCACAGCAGCTATTCCTCCGGCAATGACATTGGTGAGAGACTTGCTTGTAGCTTTCCACTATATCGGTACAATTAGAACTGAAAAGCTGCTATTGTCCTAATATAGTCAGTAAAATATCACTTCATCTGCTGTTTCCATTCAGGTCCATTTGGAGAGAGAGATGACCAACAGGTGTTCATTCAGAAAGTCATTCCTATTACTAACAAACTCTTTGTTCGTCTCTCCTCTACGGGAAAAAGGTACATTTTGAGAAGCGTTTAACTCTTGAACGAGGTGCACACTGCATAATATACTAAATAAATATCTCATGATTTAGTGTTGCTATTCATGGGTATTTAGAGTACTATTAAAAATACCTTGGTGACTTAAAGAGACAGATAATCCACACAAAAAATGAAAATTCTGTCATTATTTACTCACCCTCATATCATTCCAAACCTGTATGACTTTGGTCTGTGGAACATAAAAGAAGATATTTTACATTGATTTATTTTTATACCTGTATTTCAGGATCTGTGAGGTGCAGGCTGTAGATGGCACCACCATCACGTGTTTTACAGTGCGAGAGTGTGAAGGCTCGAGCCGCATGGGCTCCAGACCCCGCCGTTACCTCTTCACTGGCCATGCAAATGGGAGCATTCAGATGTGGGACCTCACCACCGCCATGGACACGGTCAACAAGAGTGATGACAAAGCCAAGCGGGAACCAGGTCTGATTATTACTGTGGACAAAATAAGGGAAATAAATTGTCTGTTTGATAAAGTTGTGAAATGATGTTACCTGTCTGCAGAGGTGGGAGGTCCAACTGAGGAGGAGTTGCTGAAGCTGCTTGACCAATGTGATTTGAGCACATCTCGCTGTGCCACGCCCAACATCAGCCCCGCCCCCTCCGTGCTGCAGCACAGCCGGCTGCGAGAGTCCTGCTCCAGGTACCACAGTCTAAAAGCTTACTCACAAGTCTGGATTTTTAAACAAAACTCAGTGGAAAAACTCTTCTCATGAAAAGAGTTTGAAATATTGTAGTGCAGTGATGTGGAAGCTAGATGAACTTCTACTTGTTTAGATCCTGAATTTGCTGTCATTCTGGTATTCAAAATCAAACAATGATAAAATTCAGTATGTATGAATGGTATAAAAGGGCACGTTTTATATCGATATGAACAGACCTTAAAAGGCTAGTTCACTCAAAAATGAAAATTCTGTCATTAATTACCCACCCTCATGTCGTTCCTAACCTGTAAGACCTTCGTTCATCTTCGGAACACAAATTAAGATGTTTTTTGATGAAATCCGAGAGCTTTCTGACCCTGCATAGACAGCAAGGGAACTACCACAGAAAGGTAGTAACTAAGGACACTGTTAAAATAGTCCATGTGACATCAGTGGTTCAACCGTAAATTTATGAAGCTATGAGGATACTTTTTGTGCTAAAAGAAAACTAAAATAATGACTTTATTCAACAATATTTTCTCTTCCGTGTCAGACTTGCATTCACGGGCAGTACCACGACGTATGCGTGTGTTTGCAAGCAGAGGAATGCTCAGGCATGCGTTGTGGTACTGTCGTGAACATGCATCGAAATCTGACACGGAAGAGAAGAAATTGTTGAATAAAGTCATTTTTTGTGCACAAAATGTATTCTTGTAGCTTCAAAAATTTACGGTTGAACCACTGTCGTCACATTAACTTTTAACGATGTCATTACTACCTTTCTGGGTCTTGAATGTGGCAGTTGCATTGCTGTCTATGCAGAATCAGAAAGCTCTTGGATTTCATCAAAAATGTCTTAATTTGTGTACGGTTTTGGAACAACATGAGGGTGAGTAATTAATGACAGAATTTCAAAACAAAATGTATTCCGTAGTGACCACAGCTGTTAAAAGAGCCATTAAACAAGATGACTGATGCTATATTCCAAGTCTTCTTTACGAGAAGAGACCAAAAATGTTGATAGTTTTTCACATCTTTAAAGGCACATATTTAAAAAATTACAAATGATTATGGCAATCACTAAAAATTATCAATGAATAACATCCTATATTTCAGTCCGTTCCTCAGAGAAAGCTTTCAAATGACTAAGATTGTACAGCACATAATGCATAAGCTACTTTTATGTTTTTTTTGGCCTTGGTCACTATGAGAAGTTGTATGGAAAAAAAGCTGCAAAAATATCAATTCATAAGTAATATTGTAAACAAGTAATGTCAAAATTATAATTATTTTGGTAAACTAATGCTTTGTTAATGTTCTTAATGAATTTTAAGACTAAGTTTGTAATCATATAGCAACACAAAATTGTATTTTGTCATTTTTACAGTCTTCAGCTGCAGGCTCAGGAGCCCATCCCTGAGATGGCCACCTATGGAGCCTTGCGGCCGTACCGAGAAAGCCCCTTGCTGGCCCGCGCTCGACGCACAGAGAGCTTCCACAGCTACAGAGACTTCCACAGCTTAAACCTGACCAAGGCCCTGCTGGAGAACCACGGACAGTGCGGATCCATGGAGGACGAGATGCGTCAATCAGCGGGAGAGAACAACGCTGAGGACCCCGACAAAAGGAACTCTACCATGGATCTCTGGGGGTCCAGATCATCTGAAACCCAGTCTGCAGCCCCACGCAAATCCCCAGACAGCCCTGGAGACCAGCAGCGAAGGGCCCATATGATGGAGGAAGGGACTGCAGACTCTAGACCGGATGGAGGCAGGAGGAGGGGGGCATTTGAAGCTAATTTTCTAAGCAGGAAAAAGGCCCCTTCGGTTCCACAGCTGAGTCCCCCACCTGCAGGAGCTGATGGAGGGGGAAGCGACTCGTCCAGCACCGCCTCACCCTCGCCAACTAAAGTGTCCACATCTCCACGCCATCGCAAGGCTCCTGATGCAGCATGTGAGTGATGGTTTACACAGATTTGTCATATACAAAGGAAGTACCAAATACAATAATCAATGACAGGGAAAAGAAAAGAGTTCAAAAGTGAAGTGTTTCAGAACGTAGACGTGAAGGTTTGGCAGGACGGCAGCTGGCAGCTAAAAAAACTCACTCACTGTGGACAGATTTAAAGGGAAAATGCACAATACAAATGCCATGTCAATTTCACATGTCTGTTAACCAGTTAAAAGAATTTATTTAGCTTTTGTCAGACAGATGACGCTTCAGCATTATGGACCTAATCCTCTTTGCTGCTTTTTCCAAGCTAAGAAAACGAAACTAATAACTAAAATGAGAAAACTAATAAAGAGTGACTAGATTAATTATAATTACAGTCAGACTTTAGCTTTGTACACCTGCATTGCAAAATGTAAAAAAAAAATTGTTTTTGTCCATTAGATAGTCCATCCTAAAATGAAAACGTGAAGAAAATTTGAATAAAGAATTTACTCACCTTCATGTCATTTTAAAACCCATAGGACTTTCTTTTGTGGATCAGCAGAGGAAAAGTTTACCAGAATGTCTTTGCTGCTCTCTTCCATACAATGAAAGCAGATGTAATACTTTATATTCAGAGCGCCGAGTAATAGAATTAAATTTGTTACTATTGATTATTTTTTCTTGATAATCCTTCTTGACATCCATGATTTGCATTTGCTTTCATTGAATTGAAAAGATCAGAAAATAAATTATTGCAACAATAAATAATACTGACACTCCTAAAAATGTTATATGTAAAAATGTGTTTTCTTAGAATAGTGCGGTTTCATTTTTGCTAATATCTATGTGAAATAATAACCAACGCATGTATAATTAAATATATTCACACTTTACAGGTTTAAAACAACTTCTGATAATAAAAACACATCCACATGTAACAATGACTCATTTTTGGAGTATAACATTTAAGACACTTGATCCATTGGCATCATCACAAATGTGTTCACACTATTGCTCAGTCTAGCAGGCACAACACCACATTAGCTAACATTTCCATTAATACAGGACACGTCTACCGGATTGACTATCTGCCTCATTCATGTGTCTGTAGAGACAGAAGAGATCAACTTCCTCCCTATGTTGGCATGAATAATTTGGAGACTCAGTTCATTAATACTTTATGATTGCGGTAATATTTCATAGCTACACAGCCAGTCATAAGACTCCATTTAAAGCTATAATAATACAGTGCTATTTTCAGAACAGTTTGCTTCCTCTCTGCTTCAGTGCTAAGCACATATTACAGCAAAAGATAATCTATGTCCGATAGGCAAGTATATATACAGTCGTAATCAGAATTATTGGCAGTGACACCCTTGGTAAATATGATCAAAGAAGGCTGTGAAAATAAATCTGCATTGTTAATAATTTTGATCTTTTATTTAAAAAATTCACATAAATGTAACCTTTCATTGGAGAATAAGAATTTAAAATGGGGGCAAATATCATTATGACATAAATGTTTTTTTCTCTAATACACATTGGACACAATTAACGGCACCCTTTTATTCAATGCTTTTTGAAACCTCCATTTGGCATAGTATCAGCTCTGAGTTTTCTCCTTTAATTAATGCCTGATGAGGTTAGAGAGCACCTGACAAGAGATCAGAGACAATTCCTTCATCCAGAATCTCTCCAGACCCTTCAGATTCCCAGCTCCATGATGGTGCTTCTCCTCTTCAGTTCACCACACTCATTTTCTATAGGGTTCAGGTCAGGGAACTGGAATGGCCATAGCAGAAGCTTGGTTTTGTGC